TAGGGGCTATATAGAGTGCCGCTCTGCTCTGCCACCCGCTCCCCGAGCACCTGGCGTGCCAGAACACCTCACTCCTCCTCCTCTGTCCTTCTCTCTCGACCTCACGCCTCTCCACGCTGCTCACCTACCTTCCCCCTCCCTTGCTTGTGCCCCCCCAAATCTCACTGAATGGCCTTGGCGCAGCGGTGCCTGGAGCCCTTCCTGCCCCTGCATTGTGCACCTCCAGAGCATGCAAGAGCAGAGCAGCATCTGCCCGGGGTGGGGGACGGGAACTGCATTGATCCGTGTCTCTTGTTTTCTCTCTTCCTTCCCTCCCCGACTGGGCTGCGGTCACTGGCTTGCCCCTCTCTCTCCCTGCCCCCAGGAAGCACGCAGACTGTCCGCAGTTGCTGGACGTGGAGGACATGGTCCGGATGCGCGAGCCGGATTGGAAGTGTGTGTACACATACATTCAGGAATTCTATCGCTGCCTGGTCCAGAAGGGGCTGGTAAAAACCAAAAAGTCGTAGCCCATTTTCACCCCCCCGGGAGCGATGGTGAGAACCTTCCCCTCCAAATACCTGCCCACGCTCCACCGCTGCCACTTGGCCAAGGGGCCGGGGAGTGGCCGCAGAGGCTGGTGGTTGCTGGTGGGTGAGGGGTGAGTCCTGGTGGTGTTGGCCAGTGGGGCCAAGCTGTGGCCAGGAGAGGGGTGGAGGTGGCCAGCTACCCTCTGGACTTCCGGAATACCACCCGTGGGGATTTAGGGGGAGGGGGCTCTGTCACTCTGGGGGGCTCTTGGCTTTCCAGCCACGGGGATGGCACTGGTGGCAACGGGGCTGTGCCATAGCCGCTGGCTGAGCCCGACCCAGGGGATTAGCTGCTGGGGACACCACTCTGGGTGCTCTACAGCAGCGCAAGCCCGAGCAGTGCTGCCTGCATGGGGGTGAGCCACCCCCGGGATGGCCCAGCATAACTGCTTGCACTTGCCCCCTTGCACTCCTTCCCTTTGCCCTGGGGAGCGCAGGCGCTGCCGGCTCTGGCCAGAGGGGAGCTGCAGCCGCTGCTGCAGGGCTAGGCGTGGGCGATGGTGCCCTGCCTGCGAGGTGCTGCTTGCTCATATATGGGCAAGAACGGGGAGCCTGGAAAGTGTGAGTCAAGGCTTGGGTCCTGTCTCATCTTGCAGTGTTTGTGCCTGTCTTCAGGGGCATCCCAGCTGGTGCTGGAGCCACTGCTCCCCCGGGCTCTGTGCAGCACTAGCACACCAGGACCCAAACAATGGCTTTATAAGGGCAGAGCTGCTTTCCTTGTGCTGCTGTTGCTTTGCCGTCACTCCCTGAGCTGGGGCTGGTGGTGGTGGTGGGGTGCCCAGAGCTCAGGTGGGGGAGCCTCCTGAGCCTTTGCCAGGGCAGCTGAATGATGAGGTGGGAGGCAGTACTGGCCAGGCTGTGGGCTCAGCCTGTCCCCTCCATGGCTGCATCGACTCCAGTGCAGCAGAGGCCCTGTGGCAGAGCTGGGGTGGTGGGGGGCTGGAGCAGG